CAGACAAGACCTAGTCCCCAGGAATACTCCTCTAGCATCTGTTCTAACAGGCCTATACTTTGAAAGTTAAAGGGGAATCGAAGAGCTCAGCAGTTTTTGGGCTAACTTTTATAAGGATCTTAATCTGGGTTCCTTTTTGGGATGAGGTTCCAAGAACTTCAATCAGCAGTCGTCTCAGCTTGCAATTTTAATGGCTCTTAGAACCAGGTGCCCATCTTTTTGATTGCGCCATACATTTAGCATCAATTCAGGATCGGGTGATGGTGGTTTTTGGCTTTTTCGGTGAGAAAACCCAAATCACTGTGAAGCCCGATCATTTTTCCACCAGGTCTAGAGAGATGATCTGATATTTCTGGGTCGAAAGTACCCAAGCAGTTCCGTACTTGGGTTTCATCTTTGGACCATAAAAATGGTGGCAGCGCCATTTACCAATAAGTAATCTTTGTTTTTGTTTTGCAGAGTATTCTTCGATATGTCACTCGACTGGAATCATCGCGAGTACTACTCGGATGACACCTCCCAATATGCTTCACCAGTTTTTAACAGTATCCGAAATCATTTTGAAGATACCGTAAGCGTTTTCTACCGTACTCAGTCTGTTACGGTAGCAACTTCATGTCGGCAATTTATAGGTTCCCCGTAAACAGGCACCTTCTCTGCGTCGACAATCCAGTTGTCGTCCATCTACCTCTATCTATCTACCGCAGAAAAAATCGAAACCAACTTTGAGGTAAGGGCTATGCTTGGCTTGTACCTATCAATACTTCTGGTCCTGTATGAGGGAGGACCTCTGTTTGGTTAGCCTTGATGATGGCATGGAGACGATTCAATGGAAGGATAATTGCTAGGAAGTGATAAAACATAAAATAATCGACTCTTCAGGGCCCCATGTCGAGAATCGGTCAAGATTTACCCGATTTCTGTCCATGGCGTAGATTAGCTAGCTCAACACATGGGAACCATCCAAGAAAATACAATAACTTTGGGTATTACTGCTGTAAAATCCTTGATTACCCAGTCGCCCTACCTTGGAGGTAGATTATTAGCTTTGAGGGGATTATCTGGATGTAACTAGAAGATTCTAAAGACGTTCCATACAGGTGTCTCAGACAGGAATCCTCAATTCCCACGTGAAGATGGCTCCCCCCTCCCCCTTCCACCAAAAGAATGTCTTATTTCTCGAGCAGCCTATTTTCTGTTCAGAGCTTTCATTAATTTTGACGGACGGAATCCTCTTCAGTTATGATTTGACAACCGATGATTGATTACTTATTGGAAATTGTGAAGGAATTGAGTACTCGCCATAGAAAAGCCATCATTTTGACTATTCTCGACGATGGTAGACATCTAGAATTTTGACTTATGCTTGGAGTATTTTTGAAGTCTCTTTCAACGATTTCATCCGGTTGCAGTCCTGGTAAAAATCAAAAAAAGCTCATTCTCCTTCGAAAATCACCTTTTCAACAGAA